TGTAGTATTTATACTCTGTAGATGTACTGTAGTATTTATACTTTGTAGTATTTATACTCTGTAGATGTCCTGTAGTATTTATACTCTGTAGATGTACTGTAGTATTTATACTTTGTAGTATTTATACTTTGTAGTATTTATACTCTGTAGATGTCCTGTAGTATTTATACTCTGTAGATGTACTGTAGTATTTATACTCTGTAGATGTACTGCAGTATTTATACTCAAGTATTAGTATTTATACTCTGTAGATGAACTGCAGTATTTATACTCTAGTACTGATGAACCTTTACTACAGTGTTTACATTTCCTGTTTCAGATGTAGCTTCCTGTTTATGACTGTTTGATGCTTTGTTTGTTTAATATCTCTGTAACAGCTGCACTCATTAATCAATAAGTTTATTGACAAGATAATTCTGATAATCAAATCATTGCTTATCTAACTTTATTAGCAATTAGTGAAACATAGACTGGTTAAGACATAAATTAACTTGTTCCCAAAATATAACTTCTTCCTACAAGATAAGTTAGTCCTACAGTTTATGTTCCCAAAAGAGAATTAACTTGTTCCCAAAATATAACTTCTTCCTAGAAGATAACTTAGTCCCACAATTTATGTTCCCAAAATAGAATTAACTTGTTCCCAAAATATAACTTGCTCCCACAAGATAACTTAGTCCTACAGTTTATGTTCCCAAAAGAGAATTAACTTGTTCCCAAAATATAACTTCTTCCTACAAGATAAGTTAGTCCCACAATTTATGTTCCCAAAAGAGAATTAACTTGTTCCCAAGCAGATTGAAAACAAAAAATGAGCAAATTAAAATTTAACTAAAAATAATTATGCATTAAAAATAAATAATCTTTATGCATTAATGTGTGTGTGTGTGTGTGTGTGTGTGTGTGTGTGTGCATGTGTGTGTGTGTGTGTGTGCGCGCGTCAGTCAGTGTGTGGTTGGACAGACTGGTTATCGTACGGTCAGACTCTCTTCATGCTCGGCCTGCTGCTGGGATCTCTGGTGGGAGGAGCCATATCTGACCGGTACAACACACACACACACACACACACACACACACACACACACACACACACACACACACTCCTTTGATGTGCTCCTATACTGTGACCTTGTGTGTTTGTGCAGGTATGGGAAGCGCCCGGTGCTGCTGGTGTGTGTGTGCTTACATGCCGTGTGCGGCCTGGCGCCGGCCATCCTTTCTCAGCCCTTTCTCTTCCTCGCCGTCCGCTGCCTGACGGGCGTCTGCTGCTGCTGCATCAACATCTGCTCCTTCAGTCTGGGTAACGCAGCCTCTTCCTGTTCCCCTTTACCTAACCGGCCCGCTCAGTCCGGGTCACCGCTCTTCGGATGAGTTTTATCAGAGCGCTGTGGGACGCACTCTGAAACATGAAACGTGTCCCACATGAGGTCACGCTGACCGTGCTGAGCACTAATGAGGCAGGATGGGCTCCAGCAGCGTCCTGACCTCTGACCTCTGCTGAGGAGACTTGTGGACAGACTGAGGGCAGCAGGTTCACCACAGAAGAAGAAAAACCTGCTCCAGATTATTAACATATTCAGAAACAGGTTTTTATTTTGTCCAGTAAAACGTTTTCTCGTCAATGTTTCACGCGTCTGTTCGTCCTGACGACTTTAAACATTTACCTGAAGGGGAAACATTGGCACGGCGCCACAGGAAAGGTCAGAGGTCACCTGTGTTTATATGTGAATAAATGTTCACCATCATCGTTCCAAAATTCATTCATATATAATCAGGTGGCTGATCTTCAACTTCAGTTTGTAAAAGGAAACCATCATCATCATCATCATCATCACATTTCATTCATCATGTCTCATCATTTCTTGATGTGTATATTTATATAACCTGCATGTCCTTGGACTGAGGGAGAAAACTCGAGCACCCGCAGAAAACCCATGCTGATGTAATTCATATGTACGTATGTGCACATCAAGAAATAAATTAGACATCATGAAAGTCATACATATCCCTCGTATTGTAAAACGATGTGATTATGTGACGAACATAATGATGAGCGATCCGTGAGGCGGCAGGTTGGACCAGTGGGCGGGTCACAAAAACACAAGTCTTTCGCCTGGAGACGCGTGTTCGGAACCGCATTAACTTTCAATTTAAAAAACGTCCTCACCGTGTTTCTGTTCGTAAACCTAACCTCCGTAACTTCAGTACGTTAATTATGTTAATAAAGTAACTACACGTAAAGGATGTAACGTCATTCATGTGGCGCCAGTTTGTAGATTATCATATGAACCATTCTACGAGAACACGCTGTGTGAATTACACGGGAAAGAAAAACGAGAGATTTTTTTTTTCTGGATTGCTTTTTTTTTTTTGTATGTTTTTTTTTTATAGCTCCGGGCTGACGATAGTCGGAACCAGAGATGATATATTTTTGGCCATCCATCCCATTCTCTTGAATGTGATATCATCGGAAGGCCTTGAGTTAATGTCTTTGAATTTGGCACAAATGTCCACTTGGACACAACGGTGAACTAATTAGATTTTGGTGGTTGTAGCTCAAAGGTCAAGATCACTGTGACCTTGCAGCTGTCTTATTCTTCTGAATGCGATATCCTAAGAAGTCCTTGAAGGAGTTTATTCAAATTTGGCACAAACATAAACTTGTAATCAAGGATGAAATGATTAGATTTTGGTGATTGTAGGTCAAAGGTCAAGATCATTGTGACCTCGCATCCATCCGCATTCTCTTCGATGCTACATCTCCAGAAGGCCTTGAGGGAATTTCCTTTAATTTGGTCAAAGGCCAAGATCACTGTGACCTTGCAGCTGTCTTATTCCTCTGAACATGATACCTCAAGAAGTCCTTAAGGAGTTTATTCAAATTTGGCACAAATTCAGAGTCACTGATAAACTTCTGGTGGTCAAGGGTAACTGTGACCTTGCATCCATTTCATTATTGTGAACATCACATCTCATGAGCATCCTGAGGGAATTTCTTTGAATTTGGCATAAACGTCCACAAGACAGACGCAAGGTCACAGTGATTTTGACCTTCGACCACCAAATTCTAATCAGTTCATCCTTGAGTTCAAGTGAACGTATGTGCCAAATTCAAAGACATTCAGTCGAGGCCTTCTGAAGATATCAAACTCACAAGAATGGGACAAGAATGAACAGATTAGATTTTGGTGGTCAAAGGTCAATGTGACCCCGTCCGTTGCATTCTCATGAACGCACTCTCTCAAGAACACCTTAAGGGAATTTTCAAATTTGGCACCAATGTTCACATGGACTTAAGGATGAAGTGATTATATCTTGGTGGTTGTAGATTACAGGTCAAGATCATTGTGACCTTGCATCCATTGCATTCACGTGAATGCTATATCTTAAGAATGCCTTGAGGCCTTCGAATTTGTCACAAATGTCTCCAAATTTGTCATGAACGTCCACATTGAGTGACTGATAAACTGATTAGATTTTGGTGGTCAAAGGTCACTGTGACCTTGCATTAATTTAATATCGCGATATCTCCAGAACACCTCGAGGGAATGTCTTTAACTTTGGAAAGAAAAAAAATGCCCCCCCTCCGCATGGTGTGGGTTCTAACAACTCCCTTCTCTGGGGAGCAGGACAGAGGTCCTCACAGGTCCCCTCGGGTCCTGGTCCCTTCAGACAGTCTGAGTAAACTGGCCTGTGTCTGTGTTGCAGCGGTGGAGTGGACCCCGCCCGCCGCCCGGCTCTGGCCGCCGGCCTTTCTACCATTCTGCTTCAGTCTGGGGACGATGGGCGGAGCTCCACTGGCCTGGCTCAGCACCACCTGGACACAGCTGCACCTGTCGCTGGCTCTGCCTCAGCTCCTCTGTCTGCCGCTCTACCTGTACGTACACACACCTGTACACACACACACACACACACACACACACACACACACACACACACACACAAACTCCTGTCCTCAGGGTCTTTGTTGCTCCGCCTCTTCAGGTCGATCCCAGAGTCTCCTCGCTGGCTGTTGTTAAGGAGGAGGACGGATGTCTTGGACCATTACCGTAGCAACAGCCCTCAAGACAAACAGCGTCTGGACTTGGTGAACACACACACACACACACACACACACACACACACACACAGTTTCAGTTAAAGGTAAACTCAACTGGAATCTGTTGGTCAGCCAACTGTGTGTGTGTGTGTGTGTGTGTGTGTGTGTGTGTGTGTAGCTGTTGGACTCGACGTGGTCCAACCTGCAGAAAGCCTCAGAGGCTCAGAAGGATCAGCCACCTGGAGCCCCCGCCCCCAGTGACATCATCCACCTGAGACACCCGACCGTCCTGCTGCGGCTGTTTATCATGAGCTACCTCAGGTAACGTGTTTACAGAATCCTCTGAGAGTTTGAACACGTAAATTATATAAAAAAAATATGAAACTGGTATGAAAACTACGATAAACTGTCCGAGCCACTGTTTGGGAAAAAAAACAAGAATAATAATGAAATATTTTGATGATAAACTTGAAGAATATTTCAATAATAGTTTGAGGAAAAATTTTAAATATTTTGCAAATCAAGTTGTAATATTGTGAGACTAAATTTGTGATATTTTTGAAATGATAAAGTCCTTAAATTTTGAGATGAAGTCGTAAAATTGTGAGAATAACTGTGAGATATTGGATGTAGGATTGTTTTAGAAATAAAGTTTTAATAATGTGAGAATAAATTTGTAAAAAATTGAGAATAAAGTAAATTATATTTTGAGAAAATATTTTGGATTATTTTAGAAATAAAGTTGTAAAATTTCATTTCAAATTATTATATTTTTAAAATGAAGTTGTTATATTATGAGATTAAGTTGTTATATTTTAAAAATAAAGTCGCAATATTGCGTGAATATATTTAGGATTTCTTTATGAATAAAGTTGAAATATTTGGAGAATAAAGTCAAAATATTGTGTGAATAAATTTGTAATATTCAAGAATGAAGTTGTAATAGTTTGATGATAACGTTGAAATATTTTGCAAACCAAGTTGTAATATTTTGAGAATAAAGTCATAAAATTTGGAGAATACACTCATTAAAGTGTGAGAATAAATGTTGATATTTTAAGAATAAACTTGTGATATGTTGGGACTTCAGTAACACTGTCAAAATAAGGTCGTAATATTTTGAAAATTAACCCTGTACAAATACAATTCTAACTGTCCGACAAGAAGTCTGTAAAATTTCAAGAATAAAATCAAAATATATATTTTTTTTCAATTCAGAAAAAAAAACGTGTGTAATGGTTCCTGAAGCTTTCAGTGACATGGTGCAGCTCAAACAGGCCAGACGAGGCGACAGAGGATGACGGTACCTTGACTCCAGGTGAGAGTCAGGAACAGATCAGGTTCAGATTCAGATGGCTGGAACAGAAAGATAGAAGAATCGACACCAGTGAAATAATGTGCTGCTAGGACCAGATTCAAGCTGAGATGTTAAACCTGTGTTTCTGCAGTGCGGCGTCGGCGCTGACGTACTTCGGCATCTGCATGAACATTGGCTCATTCGGCGTGGGCGTCTACTCCGCCCAGTTCTTCTCCGGCCTATCAGAAGCTCCCTGCCTGCTCGTCCCATTGGTCCGTCTGGGACGCCGGCAGATCAGCATGCTTGCCCTGTTCCTGAGTGGAGCGGCCTGCTTCCTGTCGTTACTGCTGTCCAGATACAACGGTGAGCGGAGGAGCGTAGAACACCTGCAGCGTTGTTCTGTAGTCATACTCTCCACATGCTGTATTTTTACCTTGACTGATTCTGGAGTCTAAAAGTTGAATGATATGAGCGGTGCAGCTGGTTGTAGAGGTGTACAGTGGGGTATCGTCTGCATAGAGTCTGATGATTTATTGGCATGTTTACCATATTAGCATTAGCTTATCAGCTCCGCACTGACCCAATCCTAACTGACATATGATTGATCAGTGATCAGACATCAGGTGATGTTTACTGTGCGTGCAGGTGAGCCAGTGCTGGTGATGAGTCTGGCTCTGCTGGGGAAACTCTGCATCCTGGCTGCCACCTTCATCTCCATCCTGTACAGCATCGAGCTCTTCCCCACCGTGGTCAGGTACAGACTGTCATCACATCATTGTTTTATCCTGTCAGACATTTGTGTGAATGAGGAAACTCCTTTAAGGCCTTCTTGAGATATCGTGCTCACAAAGATGTGATGAAAGCAAGGTCACAGTGAAGTTGACCTTTGACCTTTTGGACAAAGAATGTCATCACATTATTATTTTACCCTGTTAGACATTTGTGGAAAATTCTGTTGTAATAAGTGTATGAAATCTTGAGTTAAGGTACAAAACATGTTTTGTGAGGTCACTGTAACCTTTGATCACCAAAGTCCAATCAGTTTATTGCTGTGGACAAGTGGATGCTTGCAAAATTGCAAAAGGGAACTCCGTTAAGGCCTTCTTCAGACATCATGTTCAAGAGAATGTCACAGTGACCTTGACCTTTGAGCACCAAAATCTAATCAGTTCATCGTTGAGTGCAAGTGAATGTTTGTGCCAAATTTGAGGACATTCCTTCAAGGCCTTCTTGAGATATCATGTTATGACAATGTGATGAAGACAAGATCACAGTGGAGTTGACCTTTGACCTTGGGGATATAAAATTTCATCACTTCTTTAATTTGTGTGAAGTTTTCTCAAGGTCAGCGTAGGAATTCTTGAGTTATGGCTAAAAACATGCTTGGTGAGGTCACTGTGACCTTTGACCACCAAAGTCCAATCAGTTCATCGTTGAGACCACTAAATTCAGCTTATTCTTGAGTCCAAGTGGACATTTGTGCCAAAGGCCTTCTTGAGATATAGCATTCATGAGAAGGCAATGGATAAGGTCACAGTCACTGGATTATACTTGGACAGATGATAGTGCATGGATTACACTTTGGTGGTTAGGGTTTCAGTAACATGACCTGAATGGTTGAATTGTGGAGCGTCCAACCAAGCGAGCAATGTTTAACATTGGTATGTAGGGAAGTCAACGGTTGACCATTAATCAGTACACTGTCACAAATATTTTCTACCCATTACACATGGCGATCTATAGGTTCATTTTGCCTTCTCTTCAGTTTCCTGCACTTGGCACCACCCGGGTTTGGTGGGAGCTTCCGTTAGCTAGTGATGCTGCCAGTGACACCATCCCGACCCAACGGTGTTGCTGTGGAAACATGGCGCCCACCCTCCGTTGTCTCCCCCGAGGTCACCCTGATGAGTAAGAAGCTCAATTTTGAGCCAGTAACCCCCTTTTAAGTGTTAGCTCTGTTAGCACTGTGGCTAGTGGTGCTAACATAGTTAACAATGCTAAAGAGGGTTTGCGGCACAAAATGAAGCCACTCACTTACTTACTTGAAACTGACATCCCCTGGTGGTGCGTCTATATTCACGAAAGTGAATTGTTTTTATCATCTGAATTTGGCGCTAAAATTTTCTCCAAGTCCCTGAACAAAAGAGTACCAGAAGAGTAACCAAAGGAAACCTCAAAATGGCCAAAAAACACAAGACGTTTAAATAAATCCATGTTTATCTAGAAATGAGCCGTTGTGACATCCAACTGATTCTGACAGAACACGACATGTGTATGTATGTAAGGTTGATCGTGTCATCCTAATACAGACAGCGATGTGTGTCCCTGGTCAACCTGTGTTTCCGGCTCGGCTGCCTGGTCAACTCCCTTGTCCCCTCCAACCCAAATGGAGCAATCTCATTGGCCGCCATGGTGGTGTACAGCAGTGGACCGATCATAGGCTGCGGTCTGTGCCTGCTGCTGCCGGAGACCAGCGGTGTTCCGCTGCCTGATTCAGTGGAGGACTGTGACAGGCAGCCTTGGTCCCGCCCACCCAGCGTGAGCGCCCTTTGGAAAACATGGTGAGGAAAAACACATGCTGGCTGTGAACCTTGGCTGGTCCATGGCCAGACTGAGCCAGCCAGAGTCTTGGCTAGGCCCAATGTCCAAAAAGAAGTACTTCTGAGTTAGCAATATTTTATCTTGTTGTTGTTGCTAACATTGGTCAACTTTGTTGCCATAACAACAAACATTAATAATCTTAAATAAAGTTTGAAAGGTAACATCTGATCAGGTTTTGGACCTTGTCCACTTTAGTGTAGGATCAGCTGTACACTGACCTGGCAGAGATGGCGGCCATCTTGTCTTTCCATGGATCAGTGTGTTGTTCCGTCAGTCACATTTCTTCTCCTGATGTTTTAGAAACAGGAAGTCACGTAGTCAAACTAAACATCAACTCTGAAGTCTCATAACCAACTCCATCACACACACATTAACAGTGTCACAGTCAATCATTGTGTTAACTCATGGTGTGTGTGTGTGTGTGTGTGTGTGTGTGTGTGTGTGTGTGTGTTTTCAGGAAGCCGGTGAGCAGCCGAAACAGGGAAACAGAGACCGTCCCCGCAGAGAAAGACGACACACACACAGGACTGACATGAACACACACACTGTTGAGTGATGATGATGATGTTATGTGACGAGCAGTTGGAGGGCGGCCAACACTCGAGAGGACGTCTGTGTCTCATTCTTTATGTTTTTATCACCATGAAAATAAAATCAGATCAAGTTTTCTCCCTTGTCATCATTGTTCTACAAGTTATCTTAGCATAAAGACTTGGAACAGAGGCTAACAGCTAACTTATCTTTGCATACAGCCTTGAAACAGAGGCTAACGGCTAATTTATCTTTGCATACAGCCTTGAAACAGAGGCTAACAGATAGCTTATGTTAGCATAAAGACTTGAAACAGAGGTAAACAGCTACTTTATCCTAGCATGAAGACTTGAAAAAGATGCTAACACTAAGCTTATCTTAGCTTTAAGACTTGAAACAGAGGCTAACAGCTAGCTTATCTTAGCTAAGAATTGAAACAGAGGCTAACAGCTAGCTAATCTTAGCTATAAGACTTGAAACAGAGGCTAACAGCTAGCTTATCTTAGCTAAGCATTGAAACAGAGGCTAACAGCTAGCTTATCTTAGCTATAAGACTTGAAATACTATAAGACTCATTGGTAACATCAGCAGAGTACTCATCTGTATAAGTTTTTTATGTATTTATTTATATAAACAATAATTAAATAAATAAATGTAAAAAGATGCTTTTTTGAAATTATGTTGTCAAATCTTTTTTTATGAAAACAATATCAAATGAATAAATAAATAAATAAATGTGTAGACTCCTTTTTAAAAGTCTGTTATATGTTTTAGTGTCAATAACACTTAATGAATAGATAAAAGATGCATTTTTAAAAGTTATTTGTATTTTTATAGAAACAATATTAAAAGAATAAATTAAAAAAACGTATAATTTAAGAAATAAATGTATAAAGATGCCTTTTTACAGTTTATTTTTATGTATTTTTTAATGTAAACAATATGTAATGAATAAATAAATCTATCAATAATCAAATAAATCAATGTATAAAGACGCCTTTTAAAACATCATTTTTTTGTATTTTGTATGTAAACAATATTTAACAATTAAATAAATGTATAAATAATTAAATTAAATAAATGTATAAATAATTAAATAACAAATGTATATAGAAGCCAAGTATCAGTTTTTTGTATTTTTCATGTAAACAATATTTAATAAATGAATAAAGAAGACTTTCTAAAAGTCTGTTTTTGGCACCAGGTCTGATTCCTACAGTTGTGGCGCCCTCTGCAGGACTCAAGAGGAACTGCAGCCTTACAGTGTTTGTAGATTTCTTATGGACGTGTTACAGAAATATTTTGTGTATTTGTCACAGAGAAGTAAAAAGTTTTCAGATATTTGTGAATCTCATTTATATGTTTGTGGATTTTTCATTATTCATACTGAGTTTTTTAATTTATTTTCATTTGTTTTACATTTTAATATTTGCAGTTTCATTGGAGTTTAAAAACCTTTTTACTTATCTGTGGAAGTTGTTTTATATTTACAGATCACACATTAACACACAAATGATATCGACACTGATCTGCCTCCGCATGTTTTGACAAAATGGACAAAACTGAAGCAGATTCTCTACAAATGACATTTATTTGTTTTTCTTAAACAATCTGACATTTAAAAACACCAGCTGATTATTATAATCAAACTACCTGACATCATCATCATCATCACCTTCACCTTCATCACATATACAGTATAAAGTATAAAACTTCCCGTTTAGCAGCTGTAACAGACGAAGCTTTAAACACTGTCAAGAAAAGTAACATTGATCCATCTCAGTTCAATGTAAAAAAAAAAGATCACCCTCATCCTGTTTGAAAAAATATTTTTAAAAATCATTTTAGTGAAAATAAAAGAAAAAGTGTTTTGTAAAACTCTTATGTTTGTCTCTGTTTTATTTTGAAGGGAAAGGACAGGAAGTGGTTGTTTGAGAAGTCAAAGATTCACCAGTGAAGTAAACACAAACACAGACAGAACAAAGTGCCCAAGTTTCCAACGCTCCCAAGTCCCCTGAACGCAACACTGAATAGTTTTAACACGTCAGAAAATATTAAACATTTATTTTAACAAATTTAAAACTCTGATAACAGTTTTTTTAATCCAAATAAAGTTTTAAATTTGAATTCAATTTGTTGTGAAAGTAGAGTTTGTGATTTTAGTGTGGAAAAGACTTTTTTTTTATGTCAAAATAAAGGAATCATTATTTTTTTAAATTCAAAACTAAATTGTCTTTTAATTTTCATTTTTAATTTCCTCATTTTTCCCAAAACTAACGCAGATTCATGAAAACACGTCTGTAATTTCATAAATGAATCCACAATGTTTCCTGAAAGGAGAAACGTACTTTGGTAAAAAATTTAATTCAATAATTGGCACAATTTAAATTAATTCATTTTAACACGACCTTTAAGTCAGAAAACAGCAGGCAATATTTTAACATTTCTAACAGTGTGTAAATAATTCAACATGTACATAAGAACATTGGTGCCAAAATTATTTATTTTATTTTTTTTTGGCAAAATTTTCCATTAAATTTAAAGCAACTTATTTTTCATAAATTACAGCTAATTGTTATTTTACATATTAAATTATCTGTTTATTATTTTATTAGTTTATTATTTTGTCTTTAAATCAGCGAGAAATGTCTCAGAGCGCCACGTCATGATATCATACAATGATGTCACATATTTTACTTCATTCACGACTTGCGGATCAATTTTAATGAATCGACTCTGAAGCCAAACCCTGAAGTTTTAGTGGACTTGACCCCTCCTGCTTCCCGTACAAACTGTCACTCAGCTGCAGTTCCAGCGTCAGACCACTGGGGGGGGGCTCAGTATGTGACAAAGTTGGCAGGGAAGATCCCGATGCGCCCGTCGATCAGTTGCCCCTCCCACCAGTCGTACTGGGAGTCGGTCTTGTTGAGGACGGTGATGCGGTCGCCAGGGGTGAAGCTCAGGTCGCCGGGCTGCTGCCCCGTGAACGGGTGGATTGCCGTGACGACCAGCTGCCCGCCTGCCCCGCCCACCGGCAGTGCTCCACCTGGAAGAAAAAAAAGGAGCATTCACACACAAGGCAGTCTGCAGGGGAGGAGGAGGAGGAGGAGGAGGAGGAGGAGGAGAAACAACCATCCATTCATTTAGACCAGAGATCAACAGATTCACAAACTGTGACCACCAGAGGGAGCCACACACACACACACACCCACCCCCACACACACACACACACACACACACACCATCTGTCAGACAGGAGGAGGTAAGGAAGGACAGGAGGAGGTAAAGAAGGACAGAAGAAGGTAAGGAAAGACAGGAGGAGGTAAGAAAGGACAGGAGGAGATAAGGAAGGACAGGAAGAGGTAAGGAAGGACAGGAAGAGGTAAGGAAGGACAGGAGGAGGTAAAGAAGGACAGAAGAAGGTAAGGAAAGACAGGAGGAGGTAAGAAAGGACAGGAGGAGATAAGGAAGGACAGGAGGAGGTAAGGAAGGACAGGAAGAGGTAAGGAAGGACAGGAGGAGGTAAAGAAGGACAGAAGAAGGTAAGGAAAGACAGGAGGAGGTAAGAAAGGACAGGAGGAGATAAGGAAGGACAGGAGGAGGTAAGGAAGGACAGGAGGCATGTAAGGAAGGACAGAAGAAGGTAAGGAAAGACAGGAGAAGGTAAGAAAGGACAGGAGGAGGTAAGGAAGGACAGAAGAAGGTAAGGAAAGACAGGAGGAGGTAAGAAAGGACAGGAGGAGATAAGGAAGGACAGAAGAAGGTAAGGAAAAACAGGAGGAGGTAAGAAAGGACAGGAGGAGATAAGGAAGGACAGGAGGAGGTAAGCAAAGGAAGAAGCATAGAAGGAAAGAAGGGAGCAAACAAGGAAGGAAAGTAGATGAAGGAAAGGAGGTGGCGCTGCAAAAGGTAACAGGACAATAAAGAAGGACACAAGGAAACAAATAAGGGGTAGGAAAGGGAAGGAGGTGGTTAAGAGGGAAAGCCAGTGGCAAAGAAGGAGGGAAGATAGTGGTAAAAGACAGAAAATAAGGAAAGGAAGTGGTGGACAGCCGAGAAGGAAGTAGGAAGGACATGAGGAGGTAGGAGCGTTTACCAGCGTACCTGATGTCTCAGACTTATAGATGGAGATACTCGGGTACAGCTTGTTCTTGTCAGTGCTGGTTGGAGGTGGCTGGTAGCCGGCTGATGGTTGCTGGTAGCTGGCTGATGGTTGCTGGTAGCCGGCTGATGGTTGCTGGTAGCCGGCTGATGGTGACGGCACGTAGGTGTTTGATGGTCTCTGCTGAGGTGGAGGTGGCGGTCTGGATGGCGGAAGAGATGACTGGGGAGGGTGCGAGAAATCATTTAAATGTTAGTCATGAATAAATGCTGAGAAGTTCTTCTTTAAATTGCTCTCTATAATCGTTGCGGCAACCAGAGTTTGCCGCAATCTTTCGTTGACGCAGTGTTGTTTACCTTCTGACGCATGTTCTTGCTGGTCCAGTCGGCGCAGTAGGCCTCGGTGTAGACATCCAGGATGTGGTAGAGGTCATAGCATTCTGACGGCGGCTCTACGTCGCCATTCAAAATGGCTGACGCCCGGATTTCTCGGGAGTAGAACCTGCAACCACAAATACAGTTCAAACAAAAGGACATTGTAAGATGGCTGGCGTTCGGCGCTCAGGCAGGTAGACTGGTTGCTGTACGTACTTGCGGTTGGTGTCTTTGCGTTCGATCAGGCCTGATCCCTCCAGAGAAATACCAGCAAACAAACCTTTGGATCTACAGTAGGTAAAGACTGCTGCCGGGCTGCGTATCGCCACGTCAGCCTCCACGTTCCTGAATGAGAAAGATAAAGGAGGATGTTATCTCTGAGGTACGAGTGGAATAACCAAAGCCCGCTAACTTTGCCTACCATTGGTCAATCTACGAGGTCAACCGTTCCAAGAGGTCTGGTGAATAGCTGTCAGGCTAACGTTACAAAAGTTAGCTAACTTAAGCTACTATGTTTTACCTACTATGTCAACCATTCCAAGAGGTCTAGGTAAACATTGTCAAGTTAGTTACTGGCTAACGTTAGCTAACTCTAGCAACTATTTTCTACCACCTCAGTCAACCGTTCACAGAGGTCTGTTTAAACACTGTCAGACTAATGTTATTAGCCAATGTTAGCTAACTTTAGCTACTATTTTCTACCTACTAGGTCAACTGTTATCAAAAGTCTGGTAAAACACTGTCAGGCTAATGTTACAAGGTAACGTTAGCTAATTCAGCTACAATTTTCCACTTAGTAGGTCAACTGTTGCTAGAGGTCTGGTAAAATGCTGTTGGGCTAATGTCACTAGCTAACATTAGCTGATGTTAGGTTGAATCCAGAGGAAGTTAATCCACTTCATTTCCTTTCTGTCTGCAGCACACTCTGTGAACAGCATTTACCTGTGAGCCAAATACCTGGCCACGCCCACACACACCTGTGGAACTCCCTGAAACAACACCGGTTTCTAAAATTAACCTGATGCAGGTGAATCACAGCCTGTAAAACGACGCCGGTCATTAAACATGTCATGAATCTCCAAATGTNTTAATAATAATAAAAACGAATATTAAAAACTGAAAAATTAGAAGGTTAATATCAAAGTAAACATAATAAAGGCCAAAACAAAAAAATAAAATAATAAAGATAATATATATATAAATAAAAATATTAAAGGTAATTTTGTAAAATAAATTTAGGATGTACGGGTAATGACTCACCTCCACGCCGATCTCGAAGCCTCCTCCCAGACCGGCGATGCCAATGGCAGATGGTGCTGACCAGCCTGAACACACACACACACACACACACACACACTGAATCACACTGATAAAATCTGAACGACACAAACCACTTCCTGCTCTTGTTGTTGTCGGCGCCAGCGTTTTCAGATTTGATCCAACATGTCCTTTAATCCCCAAACCCACAATCCCGAGAGGGCGCCCTGCGGAGGAGGCGAGCCAGCCCCGTGTGATCCGGGGTGAGGAATGTTGGCAGGGCGACAAACGCCGCCATCCTCCGCCACTGCCACACGAGTCCATGAACACCAGTAATCAGACACATCAGATGACTGCACGCCCCAGGAGTTCTGAGGGAGTTTCTCCTCATCGCCATGGCAATGCAACCTCCCCCCAAAATATCAAAGGTCACTGTGAACCCGAGAGGACACAAAGGAAACAGGAAGGAAGAACATCTACCAGCTGTGGAAACAAGCCCGAGTCTGACATCTGACCTCCTCAAAGACCAACAGAACCTCCTCACAGACAAATAGAACCTCCTCACAGACAACTAGAACCTCCTCACAGACCAACAGAACCTCCTCACAGACAACTAGAACATCCTCAAAGACAACTAGAACATCCTCAAAGACCAACAGAACCTCCTCACAGACAACTAGAACCTCCTCACAGACCAACAGAACCTCCTCACAGACAACTACAGCATCCTCAAAGACCAACAGAACCTCCTCACAGACCAACAGAACCTCCTCACAGACCAACAGAACCTCCTCACAGACAACTACAGCATCCTCAAAGACCAACAGAACCTCCTCACAGACAACTAGAACCTCCTCACAGACCAACAGAACCTCCTCACAGACAACTAGAACCTCCTCACAGACCAACAGAACCTCCTCACAGACAACTAGAACCTCCTCACAGACCAACAGAACCTCCTCACAGACAACTAGAACCTCCTCACAGACCAACAGAACCTCCTCACAGACAACTAGAACCTCCTCACAGACCAACAGAACCTCCTCACAGACAACTAGAACCTCCTCACAGACCAACAGAACCTCCTCACAGACAACTAGAACCTCCTCACAGACCAACAGAACCTCCTCACAGACAACTAGAACCTCCTCACAGACCAACAGAACCTCCTCATAGACAACTAGAACATCCTCAAAGACAACTAGAGCATCCTCACAGACAACTAGAACCTCCTCACAGACCAACAGAACCTCCTCACAGACAACTAGAACCTCCTCACAGACCAACAGAACCTCCTCATAGACAACTAGAACATCCTCAAAGACAACTAGAGCATCCTCAAAGACCAACAGAACCTCTTCATAGACAACTAGAGCATCCTCAAAGACAACTAGAGCATCCTCAAAGACCAACAGAACCTCATTATAGATGGACAGACTGTAAACGATCTCGAAGCGCTGTTGTAATAAGAAAAGTTATCTGCAGAGGAACCTACAGAAAAGGAGGAGGAGAGACTAGAACGTTACAGTTTGAAGACAGACAGACAGACAGACAGACAGATATTTGAGGTCTTACGTCGGTCGGCCAGCCTGGCGATGACGATGCCGCTGCCTCCTCTGGCTGTGATCATGAAGCCGGCCTTGATGACGGAGATGATGGCCAGACCTTCAGCCTTTGCGATCACGTGAGCTGCAACAAACCATAAAAACACACAACCACAACTACGTCAGTAAACACACACACAGGAAATACATCTTCAATACATCAGAGACGGCGTAACAAGGGCTGGGACGGTTCTCCGTTACCGGGGATGAGTCTGTCGGGCCCGTTCCTGTTGGAGATTTCAGTGAACTCTCTGAGGATCTTGGCGGCTTTCTTGGCCTCCGACTTGAGATTGGACGGGATGGGGTTACTCACTGCAAAACACACAAATGATACGCTTCATTAAAAACATCAACAGCTCATTCAGAGTGGAACTGACCTTCCTCTGTCACTGCAGAACCTAAACTTCAGTGGCACAAAGAGAGGAGTCACTGAACTCGTCAGTGAGCTCCTTGTTGACTGGGATTCATCTTATCTTATCTCCATCTGTGCCCAAAGATCAGCAAATGTTTTCGGAGGGCTCCGACTGTGTGGCTTTTTGTGTGACTGGACAGTGAACGTTCTCCTGATTGATCATCCATTAAATATCAGAGACCACAGAAAAATGTACACAGTCATGTCTTCAAATGTCTCGCTTTGTCCAAACAACAGTCAAGAACACAAAAACATTTGGTTTACAACCACAGAAAATGACGAGAACCAGCAAATATATTTATTTATCATTAGTTATTGAGGAGGATCTAATCATTTACAGTATCTTTAGGTCATTAAGAAGATTCTACTGATCTTTTACGACCTACTCACCTCTGAGGCATTTCTATTTATCTTTAAAAGAGGTTCTGTTGGTCACTGAGGACATTTGAGTCATCTCCCAGGAGGCTGAAGTCTGGGGGATTTCAGTGGGTCTTTGAGGAGGCTCTAGTTGTCTAATAGGACGCTCTAGTGGTCTGTAATGAGGTTTCAGTTGTCTGTAAGGAGTCTCCTTCTATTGAGTTTTGAAGGGGTTCTAGTCATCTCTGAGGAGTTTCTATTGGTCTTAAAGGGATTCTCGTCATCCTTAAGGAGGTTCTATTGGTCTTAAAGGGGTTCCAGACATCATTTAAAGAGGTTCTTTCAGTCTTTAGTATGTTCTAGTTGTGTATGAGGAGTTTTAAGTGGTCTTAAAGGGGTTCTAGTCATCATTAAAGAGGTTCTCTCAGTCTTTAAGTAGGCTCTAGCTGTCTATCAGGGGTTTCTGTTGGTCTTTGAGGAGGTTTTAATTTTCTAATCAGATGTTCTAGTGGTCTGTAATGAGGTCCCAGTTGTCTGATAGGAGTTTCTATTGTGTTTTGAAGGGGTTCTAGTCATTGTTAAGACGTTTCTTTTGGTCTTTAAGTGTGTTCTAGTCATCATTAAGGAGGTTCTATCAGTCTTTAAGTAGGCTCTAGCTGTCTATCAGGGGTTTCTGTTGGTCTTTGAGGAGGTTCTACTTGTCCAGTAGGACCTTCTAGTTTTCCACAAGGGGGTTCTATTTGTTCATGAATACACTGTATTGGTCTTTGCTAGAGTCCTAGTTGCTGTTGAGGACGCTCTTTTACGGTCTAGTCTTAAAGGGGTTCTAGTCATTTAGGAGGTACTTTTGGTCTTTAAGTGTGTTGTAGTCATCATAAAGGAGTTTATATTGGTCTGTATGTTCTAGTTGTCCATCAGGGGGTTTGTGTGGCCTTTTACAGTCTATTCGTCTATGAGGGGTTTCTGTTGATCTTTGAGGAGGTTCTGGTTGTCTACAAGGATGTTGTAGTTGTCCATGACAGGGATCTCCTTGTCTTTGAACAGACTGTATTGGTCTTTGAAGAGGTCGTACTTATTGCTGAGGAGGTTCGGGTGGTCTAAGTATGTTGTAGTTGTCAACAAGCAGGTTCTATCTACCCATGAGGAGTTCATCGTGGTCCTTGAAGACATTCTATTGGTTTTGAGTCAATCTAGTCAAACAGTTAATACTAACTTTGATCTTTTCTAAAGTGCTGTTTAATCCTCCAACACTCAGCTTATCCTCAGCTCCATCGTTGTTGTTGCCTAAATTAAATATCATATTCATGTTCCACATTTGCTGATGAGTTTATCTGGGCTGAATCGTCCGGACTGTTCCTGTGTTCTCTGTTCTGTAGCTGTCTGACAGACAGATTGAAGCGGAGCTTTGTTGGCGTGTTGGATGTTGTCATGTGTCAGGAATGTGCTGCAGCAGCAGGAGGCATGTTGGCAGACTGGTCCCTGCAGCGTGACTCTGCTATCTCACTCTGACAGCTCAAACAGGAAGCCAGAACACTGCTTTTAAACCCCAACTTCCTCTACAGACATTCTCCTGTCACTCCCATGTGTTTGTTTGTTGCTAGCAGCTCTGTGAGGCTAACATGCTAACAACCACAATGCTAACACACTGTTTTTAAAGAGGTACATTCTAGTTGTCTACAAGGAGGTGTGAGTGACCTTTTACGGACTAGTAGTAGGTTCTGGTAGTCTATTAGGACATTCTAGTTGTTGGCGTGGGTTCTATTTGCCTACAAGAAGTTTCTGTTGGTCACTGAGGAGGTTCTTGCAACAGTTTACATTAAGTACATTTCAGATGTCTAAAAGGACATTATTATTGTCTACAAAGGGGGTTCTTAAAGTCTATGAGAGGCTACTATTGATTTTTGAGGAGGTTCTATTGACCTTTTATGGTCTATACATCTACGAGGGGTGTGTGAGGATCTTTGAGGAGGTTCCAATGGTCTAATACAACATTCTGGTGGTCTGTAAGGAGGTTCTAATCATTGTTGAAGAGGTTCTGGTGTTCTTTAAGTATTTTCTAGACATCGTTGCGAAGGTTTGGGTGTTTTTTACGATCTATTCTTCTACAAAATGTTCCGTCTTTGATTGGTTCTAGATGTTGTTGAGAAGGTTCTAGATGTTGTTGAGAAGGTTCTAGTTGTTGGTGAAGAACCTCCTCCGCAACGACTAGAACCTCTTCAACAGCAACTAGAACCTTCTCATCTAGTGGTCTTTAAGCATGTTGCAGCTGTCTACTTGCAGCCTTTTATGGCTTATTCTTCCATAAGGTGCTTCTGTTGGTCTTTGATTGGTTCTTGTCGTTATTATGGAGGTTCTAGTCGTTGCTGAGGAGGTTCTAGTCATTAATCAGGGGGTTGTGGTCGTTGTTGAGGAGGTTCTAGTAGAATAGAACCTCCTCAACAACGACCACAACCCCCTTATCATCGTCTTTAAGTATGTTCTAGACATCTTTGCGGAGGTTTGAGTGTTTTTTACAATCTATTCTTCTACAAGGTGTTTCTGTTTGTCTTTGATTGGTTCTTGTCGTTGTCTAGGAGGTTCTAGTGGTCTCTAAGTATGTTCTAGTTGTCTATGAGGGGATCTAAGTGGCCTCTTCAGGTCTATACTTTTTTTAAGGTGTTTCTGTTGGTCTAGTAGGGGGTTCTAGTCATTGTTGCAGAGGTTCTAGTCATTGTTGAAGAGGTTCTAATGGTCTTTAAGTATGTTCTAGTTGTCTATAAGGGGGGGCTAAGTGACCTTTTAGGGTCTATTCTTGTATAAGGTGTTTCTGTTGGTCTCTGATTAGTTCTAGTCGTCTAAGAAGAGTTTGTAGTGTTCTCTGAAGCGGTTCTATCAAACATCCTCCTATCTATACATAAAGAGTGTTCTGGGTTCTAGGCAGTACGTGTTCCTGTCCTGAGCCGTCATTAAACAGCCTGTTCTGTCGTGACGCAGCTGAAATGGTTCATTAAGTCTAACGATTAATTAAAACCAGTTTAATTTCATTCATTTCAATGACAAAAGAAAAGCTGAGTCACTCTGCCCCTCCCACACTGAGTGATGCCATCTGTCACCATGACGACACCTCACCACTTCTCCCTCTGAGAAACCACCAATCACAGGTCTTAAGCCCAAACTCAATCAGAGAGGAGCTGATTAACCGCTCAGCAGGAGCGCCACCGTGTGTTAGATATTTGTTCTTCTGTTGTTTTACGTTAACACAAACACACACAGGCTCATGACATGTGACGACTAAATGAAACATGAGTTTAACATGTAACCACCCCGTCTCTAACGTTCTACCTCCTCAGTGGAACCTCCCACAGCATCGCACCACCGCAGCCCTCTGACTAAGGACCAGAGACTCTCAGAGGAGTGGAACCTCACAGGTCAGTGGCAAAGATGACTAAAACTGACAAGACGACAACCGCCACAGAACCGCATCACTTCACCCTGCAATAGAACCCCCTAAACCAGACCTCTGCATACATAACTAGAGCCTAAAGACCCACTAGAGCCTCCCTTAAGACCACTAGAACCACTTCATAAGTGACCGGAGACTACAAGCCCACTACTTTTTTTAGATCACAAGACCTTCAAACATGACTGGAACCTAAAAGCCCACTAGAACTACCTTTAAGCTCACGAGAACCTCTTCATAAATGACTAGAGACTAAAAGCCTAGTAGAACCTCCTTTAAGACCCCTAGAATTTTGTGCATGACTAGAACCTAAAACCCCACTAGAACTACATTTAAGACCAAAAGAACCTATTTTAAGATCACTAAAACCACTTCATAAATGACAAGAGACTAAAAGCTCACTAGAACCTCCTTTAAGATCACTTGAATATCTTCTTCCACAACTAGAACCTAAAACCCCACTAGAACTACCTTTAAGACCACTAGAACCTCTTCATAGATGACTAAAGACTAAAAGCCCAGTAGAACCTCCTTTAAGACCTCTAGAGTTTCATTTGAGATCACTAAAACCTTTTCAAAAATGACTACTAGAACCTCCGTTAAGACCACTAGAACCTTCTCTAAGACCACTAAAGCCTCTTCATAAATGACTAGCGACGTGAAGCCCCCTAGAACTTCCCTTATGATGACTAGAACCTCTTTTAAGCTCACTACAACCCTTTGATAAATTACCAGAGACTACAAGCCCACCAGAACCTCACTGAAGCCCACTAGAACCTTTAAGACCACTAGAACCTCTTCATAATGACCAGAGCCTAAAAGCCCATTTCAACCTTCTTTGAGACCACAAGAACACACTTTTAGACCTCTTCATACATGACATGAGCATAAGAGCCTACTAGAACCTCACTGAAAACCACCAGAACCTCTTCATAAATGATTAAAATGTAAACACCCCCTAGAACCTCCTCATAGACAACCAGAACCTAAAAGCAGCTAGAACTAAACCCAAACTTCACAAGACCCTTTACGGCCACAAGAACCTCCTTTCTAAACGGTTTGGACCCCCTGGAACTTCTCCAAAGAATGTCACCATAGACCTCTAGAAACTAGAACACAACCAGAACCCCCTCAGAGACCCACACCTGTGGAACCGTCACATCACCAACAGCAGCAGAGTTTTAACTGATGGAACCTGTAGATCCTGTGGAACCAGAACACTGTGAGGACACGACCCAGAGACAGAGACAGAGACAGGTAGAGAAAGATAGAGGTAGAGACAGAGACAGGTAGAGACAGAGACAGGTAGAGAAAGGTAGAGATAGAGACAGAGACAGGTAGAGAAAGATAGAGACAGAGACAGGTAGAGACAGAGACAGGTAGAGAAAGATAGAGACAGAGACAGGTAGAGACAGAGACAGGTAGAGACAGAGACAGGTAGAGACTGGAGAAACTTTAACAAACTTACTTTTGTCTCTGTCTGGTCGTACACCTTGACAGGTGAGCCGCGCGAGCCTCTTTTCTCTCTACACTGCACTTCCGCCTCACCTGACTCTGCTCACAGCCCCGCGCGCTCCCGGAAACCACACACGCGTCACGTGAAACTTAAACAGACAGACAAATGGAGCCCACCTGGACAGCCGGAAGCAGGTGGGAGGAGTGATTATGGTGTAGCGTTGTCAGGGAGACGGCGCCGCGCGGACAGCCCTGACAGAGAAGCATGGGCACAGCTGAGCGCGCTCCCGTGCGAGTTCCTGAGATGTGTGTTTTGTGTCCCCTGAGTTCAGTCTGTCAGGCAACAAGTGCGACGTGTCATCACATTAATGACTCATAATGAACTCATTAATAGGTGAGCAGGGTCACAGCTCACCTGTCCAGGTAACAATACTTTGTTTTCATCATTACATTACACCAGTCCTTCCAAATAAAACGGAACACTCTCCGTTTACATGATTCAAATAATGACAATAAGAGCTGTTGACAGGAAGTTAGTAGTGGTAGTATTAGTAGGCCTAGTAGAAGAAGTAATAGAAGTAGTAGCTGTGGGGAAACTTGAAAAATAAACTGGCAGACTTCTTCAATAAACAGACAAAGGATGTTGTTGTATGTTGTATTAATACTTCCAGAACACAAGGTTACTACTAACAAACACTTGTTTATTTATCCTGAAGACAAATAGACGTGTTTGAATCATTAACAACACGAGTCTGTCCTTTAATAAAACGCCCAAGTGGGACTTAAAGGAGCAGCTTCATAGCACCTGTTCAGGTAGAACAACATGTCTTCATGATTGGTTTCAGGAGAGTCCGGGAGGACAGGGACAACTTCAGGATTACATATGTGACATCTGTCCACAGGGGACAGCGTCAGTAGTAAATAGAAGACATCCGACCACATAACCTTAACATGTAGTTTAAGTATCAGCAGTAAAAGTACACAAGTATCATCGGCCTCATGTAGTTAAAGTATCAGCAGTAAAAGTACACAAGTATCATCGGCCTCATGTAGTTAAAGTATCAGCAGTAAAAGTACACAAGTATCATCGGCCTCATGTAGTTAAAGTATCAGCAGTAAAAGTACACAAGTATCATCGGCCTCATGTAGTTAAAGTATCAGCAGTAAAAGTACACAAGTATCATCGGCCTCATGTAGTTAAAGTATCAGCAGTAAAAGTACACAAGTATCATCGGCCTCATGTAGTTAAAGTATCAGCAGTAAAAGTACACAAGTATCATCAGCCTCGTGTAGTTAAAGTATCAGCAGTAAAAGTACACAAGTATCATCGGCCTCGTGTAGTTAAAGTATCAGCAGTAAAAGTACACAAGTATCATCAGCCTCATGTAGTTAAAGTATCAGCAGTAAAAGTACACAAGTATCATCGGCCTCATGTAGTTAAAGTATCAGCAGTAAAAGTACACAAGTATCATCATCCTCGTGTAGTTAAAGTATCAGCAGTAAAAGTACACAAGTATCATCGGCCTCGTGTAGTTAAAGTATCAACAGTAAAAGTACACAAGTATCATCAGCCTCGTGTAGTTAAAGTATCAGCAGTTCCATAGAATGGAATTCATCATATTTCTTTGACTTTTTTTTTTTATCTGCCCCTCTGTTCTTCCTCTCAGTGTTGTTCTCCTCTTCCTCCGTCCTCTCGTCCCTCTCATGTCTTTATCTCGTTCTTCGATCTCTGCTCACATTAATCGTCCTCTCTTTAAATAGCCTGCTGGATAAACATGGGTCTCACTGCAGCCATTTGTCTTCTTAATGTGCTTCCACTCAGTGTGTGTGTGTCTCAGGCTACACTAAAACTACTCCAGTATTCCCAGTCCTTCCACAAGTCAACATCCCCCAGTTTGACTAATTTTTAACATCTCGTCATGCTCCATGAATTCTTCATGAAAACGTTACCTCCAAGTTTCCTGTAAATGTTCAGCCTGTTCTCATTCTGAAGTCATGGTCCCGCAGCTGGGTCAGTCATTTTGGCAGCAGACAGCTGATGCCAAAATCATCTTTTGTGGCAGTTTGATACGTCGCCAGTCAGCCGGACGGCAGTTGTCCCAGCAGTACCTGTAGGGCGGGGAGGTGGGGAGGTGGACGGATCCAACAAACACCAGACGTTGACCTGGTGTGAGACCAGTGTTCGTTTCCTGTGTGAATGTCGAGCCAAACTATGATGTTGTTTTAAACCTCACCATGTACTTTTGTTGACGGTGTTTGTTGCCACATGCTTTTGTTGCCTTGATTTAACCACAGACTTTTGTTGCCTAAACCTATTCCCACAATTTTGTTGTCTAAACCCAACCACATGCTTTTGTTGATGTCACAGCGTTGGTTGCCATATGCCTTTGTTGCCGAAACCTACGCCCATGCTGTTGTTGCCTAAACTTAACTATGTTCTTTTGTTGGCATCCTGGCATCAGTTGCCACATTTTTGTTGTTTGCACCTAACCACGTACTTTTATCACCTTAACATAACCACATGCTTTTGTTGCCAAAACATAACCATGTGCTTCAAGTTCCATTTGAGTTTCAGTTAAATCCTCAGGTCCTTTGCCAAGTCCTCTGGTCTACTACAAGTCATCCCCCAAGTCATTCTTGTACTCCAATCCTCAGCAAGACATCTTCCCAGTCTTTTAGTCCCTAAGGAGTTCTTTCCAGCTCCTCTAGTTTTCACAAGTTTGTTCAGTCCTCTTTCAAGTCCTCAAGTCCTACAGTCCTCCGTACGTCATCCAGTCCTCCAGTTCCCTGTGAGTTATTTTAATCAAATCTTCAAGTCCTTTGCCAAGTCCTCTGGTCAACTCCAAGTCATCTCCCAAGTCATTCTAGTACTCCAGTCCTCTACCTGTCTTTCAGTTCCCTAAGAATCCCTTTCAGATGCCCTAGTCCACAAAATTCCAAGTCTCAAGTTCTTCTCTGCTTTAGTCCCCTCTGAAACTTTCCCTCAAGTCATTCTCCGTACTCTGCGTGTTGCCTTACCAGTCATTAATTTTTCTACAAGTCCTCATTCAAGTCCTCTAGTTCTGAAAGAATCCAGTTCCTAGTGCTTTAGTTGCCTTGGAGTCCATACCTAGGCCCTTTGGTCTCTGACAAAGCCTTCTTCGAGTAGTGCATGTCCTTCTTCAACAAATCTCTCCTCAAGCAGTCTAGTTCCCTTGGAGTCCATATCTTAAGCCCTTTGTTAGTTCCCTTGAAGTTGTCCTGCCAGTCCCTCTTTACCCTACCCATTCTTCATTCAATCTTCCTCCAAGTCCTTCCGGTCTTTTAGTAACTCACCTTCACTCCAACCATACCCTTGTCATTTTAAGTCCCATACAAGCAGTCCCCCCAGCCGATTGGTCGACTTTAGCGTCCACCACATCCTCAAGAGTTTCCTAGAGGTCCTCTCGCTTTTAATAGTCCTCCTAGTACCACGGTCCTCTGGGAGCCCTTTTCCATATCCTGTAGTCTGCTTTGAATCCTCCCCCCAATTGTCTGGCTCCCTGGAAGTCCTCTTCCAAGTCATCTAGTCTTCTTTTGGTCTTCATCCAGTTTTTTCTACTGTCCTACAGATTGTCCAAATTTGTCTCCAAAATCTCCCGAGACCAGCCTACGGTTTCTCTGTCAACAAATCAGGACACAACTGCTGTTAACACCTGGAATCTGTGATGGTTTGTGACAGTCTGTTAATGAAACCTGTCTCACACAGACACACACACACACACACACACACACACACAGACACACAGAAACCATAACATCACCTGTCTGGGTCATGCTGGCCACGCCCCACTGCTGTCACTCAAAATCCCCTCCCAGGTATGTGAAATATGTGGTGTGTGTGTGCACTGGGATGCAGACGGTAACAGTACACACCTGGCAGGGTGCTAATTCATCACAGATTAGTCATCACCTGCCACAGGTGTTAGTCACGTCTGTGCACCGCTCCTCCTCCATTGCTGCACTTTTATATAACTTCATTAGGTTATGTTCCAGTATTATTGTTACATATCAACTCTTTCACTGACAACTATGTGCAACTTTATCACCTCATTAGATACAAAAAAATAAAAAAGATAAACCCTAAGAAAACACGGAGGTCACACCGTGTTGGAAGGGGGTGCCATCTTGTGAAGTATGTGTTGTCTCTCTTACCAAAGTTCAATCTCAGTCCAAAAATGAGATAGTTTACAACTTTGTGTGCAGGTATCTGAGCAGAGGTCAGGTGTCATGGTCTGTTGCTAGCTGACACAGCGCGCACCTCACCAAAAAAAAAAAAAAAGTGCTCTTACAAATATATAATAGCCTATATATAATAATATAATTTATAAAGCTAAACTAAAGCTACCATTATCAGCAGTAGCCTCGTGTCATCTCGAGTGTTCCTGTTAGCATGGTTAAACACTAAATTAATGTTTTTATGCTCAGAGCTCCACAGGTCGAGTTTCTTTATTTTCCATCTGTGATGATTCTATAAATAAAGTATGACACTGTGTGTCTTCATTAACTACAGTCACAATTATTTACACTCCCAAATTTTCTCAGCGATATTATCTGTTAAATAAATGTTCAAATTGTTGCTCCAGCAGCCAATGAAACAGACATTTATGCTTTTATCTCTGAGAATTTCCCCTGAAAGCAAAAGTTAAAAAAAACAACTTTGAAGACAAGAGTGCGATTGATGAGATAAAAATAAGAACCACGCTGAAAAGGAAAATAGGTTATGAGGAAAACAGAACGTGTTCTGGGTGCAGTCATGTGGGCTGTGGGAAGTCAGGATTTATTTGGTCTGATATCATGTGAACACAGACCGGTTGAATTCCCAAACCTCTGCTGAACTCTGCCACAGCGTCACATCCATCAGGAGAGAATCAGCTGCCAACAGGACGCCCAGGCCCTGCCACATTATACAATCTGAGATAAACAAATTATTTTTCACACAAAACAAAGATCCACTGATTAAAATGTTTCTGTGGGTGGTTTCAGTTTCAGGTCATCTCAAGACAACGACATGTTTGACCTGTTAAAGTAAGAAAATAACTATTATCATGAGAAGGTTCAGTTTGTTAGCATTCATATGACTAAGTTGTGTATTCTAAAATAAGCTAACTTTAGCTAATGAATTTCAACTC